AATACTGGGCCGCTTACATGCTGCACAAAGTGAAAAAGCATTCATCATTCTCAAGCAATACTCATACATGCTAAAAATTATTCGATTATGGCCTCACTCCGCACGAAATTGGCGGAGTGACGAAGCGTTTATGTCGGGAAATTTTCGCGGGCGTTCGAAATGTAAACAAAATAACAAATATGCTGCACATATTTAAAAAAAGGTGGGAAGAACAGTCAACAGCCAGTGCTGTACAGAAGAACTGTACTTAAAAGCTACTTACAAAACAGAGTTGCTCGCTGAACAACAACGAAGAACAATTTAAATCAATCAAGAAAAATGTCAGTGCAAAAAAAGGCTTTGTTACAGAGAGCTTTACTTAAGGCTTAATGGCTAATGCAAGTAATGGAATTATAGACAATGCAAGCAACGGCAAGACAGGCACAGGGAAGCACAAAGGCACAAACATCATGTAACTACACATTTACGCATGCGTCATCCGCGTGGGTGCAGGTATACCAGTGAATCAAATTCCTCAAGGTACACAGGTAAAGCATCCATCCATATCTTGGTCCCTTGGATATGAATGAATAAATCTGAATGATGAAAAAGCCAAAGATATGGTATGATCCTCCCACAGATGATCGTTGGGTTAGTGCAACACAAGCAACGGCATTCACGAACACTTTTTGAGGACAGACAGTGTGCAAGCTGCGTTCTGACAGCGCAGACCCAAGAAGCTTCAGTTGCCAGCTGCCGGTTTGGTGCCAGCAAAGCTCGTGACGTCACAATTTCTATAATCTCTCTCTCTCTCTCTCTTCTCTCTCACACACACACACACACACACACACACACACAACACACACACACACACACACACACACACACACGGCCAGATACAACGTGACGTCACGCGAGCCAGGTGTGTAATACTCACGCAGGGCAGCTGTTGGTTACAAGCGCACGCACGCACGCACATGCTGCAGCCTCGAAGCGTTGCATTCATCATGCGGGGTTAGCTCCAAGCCGATTGGTGATGCTGGCTTGGATTTTGTTCTCTAATCATTCGAGGATTAGGTTAATGCGGCGAGAGGACACTGCAGTCCAACCCTCTCGCTCTTTAATACAGCGGCCTCTTCCTAATCCTACGCGTTATCCTAGGGTTACCCCTTTCAGGATTGAGGGGTTATGGTTTTCGAGGATGGGGATCAGGGGGGGGGGTCAGTTAGTTTAGGTTGACTATGACATTCGCTAAGGTCTGCACGATGCGGTTAGTCACATTCTCTGCGCATTGAAAGCCACGCGGGAACCAGCAGGCCGAACACACACCATCCGATGCCCAACATACAGCGAGCAGTATAGTAGTAGCAGTTAAAGGATTCGTTCACAGGAATTTAAACAAATGGCTGATACATGAGCCCTAACGATGACGTCAGCAACCAAGCCACGCCCTCATCCGCCGGAGATGGAAGCCCAGACGTCGGGAGGAATTCTGCTTGGAAGTCTCGACGTCGGCGGCTCCTACTCACAGCAGATGAGGGCGAGGTGGGTTGACTGAGTGGAAATCGACGCCAGGTCATCCTGGGTCAAACGCAAGACGAGGTCGCGACTTACCTGGCTTGCAGATGAGCTCCGCCTCGTCGCACTCCTCGTCGCCTTGGCAAGGGGGATTGCAACCACTGAGTCCGAGATTTCTACATGAAAGAAAACGGGAAGAAAGGAACGAAAACGGTTAGTATGCAATAGAAAACGGAAGATGCACGAAAATGGGAAGTCAAATTACAAAAAAAAAAAAATGCGACGGGGTTATCATATAAAACAGAAAAAATATAAAATCATGAAAAGAAACAAAAAGCACTAAATCAACATGGTATTACGACTGTTAAAATTCTCTCCCACAACCTCATAAACAAGAGGTTATCAACTTACAAAGTTGTGGAGGAAGCAGCGCCACCAAGCAACCCGGGTGATGACGAAGGAGAAGAAAGTTGTAAGAAAAAAGAAAAAAAAATGTTATATCAGAAAAAGACAGCCATTTGTAAGGTCTTTGAGTGAAAATGCGTTAGATTATGAAAAAAAATATTTACATATGACTGATGCGTTATTGAAAATTATTACGAAGACATAATTGAAATGTTAGTTAATTAATAATTGAATAAAACCAGTGTTTGATATTGATATGATATGTTTTTTTTAGTTAATCCTACTGCATTATAAAATCATAAATCCATTTACCAAAATTATATAACTGAAAAAAATACTAGCATGGAAATAAAGATCCACTGAAATTAGCACCCAAATACCATTAAGAAATATTCACAATCACACATCTATAAGTAACTGAAAAGATCAGAGTTAGAAAAAAATATAACAAGGAAGACCAAACCTTCATAAAAAAAAAAAAAATAGAAAGAAAATTAATAATGGTTGATACGTCCCACAGGGAAAACACCAAAAAACAAACAAACACAGAGAGATCAAGAGATTCAATCATACACACATAGAAACACACACAGACCAAAAAAAAAAACAGACAGAGGAACAAGACACGGACGAGTAATGTCTTTTGGACAGACATGCAACTAGGAAGACAGACAGACAGACAGAGGACGTAAATGGTACTTACGTGGCTTGCAGGTACAACCGTCACAGGTGAAGGGGCGGGGCAGTCACTGTTGGACTGGCAGTTACATTCTGTAATAGCCAATTGTCAAGATTCGTCATGCGTGTGCTTTTTGGAAAGTGTATGTCCGTATTTCATGATTTTTTGTGTGCTGAAGTGTTCATAGAGTTAAATCTAAATACAATATTTCAAAACCTCTTTTGATTTTTCCCGAAAAAAAAACAAGAAACAAGAGTGAAAATACATCACCTGACATCAATCGAGAACAGTAATAGTAAACCTTAAAGTAGGAAGTCTAGATAAAATCGTAAAAGGGGAGAGAAGTCAGTCGAGGGTGACATCAAGGGGCTTAAGTCAAGTCAGTTAATAAGCTGTCAAAGTGCTAAAGCTTTACTTCTGCGGTCTGCTGGGTCTAAGGGTGCGTGGAGGTCGTCTGTCTCTACAATGCTGCTAAGAAAGGAATGCCTGCTGTTGGGGAATGCGAGTGTAAATTGTAAAGCTGAGTTCCGAGTCCTGTGCATATGGTATTTTGGTCTAGTTTCACAAGTGGTATGGCTATTCCGGGATGGGAGTGTAGATTGGGAGAGAGAGCTGGTTTTTGAAGGCTGTGTAAATACGTTACGTTTTGCTCCGAATTTGAATGTGTGGATATCTATTCCCTCGTGACTTCAGCGCTTTATTTCCAACTCGAAAGGAAATAAGGGTCAATCCCCAGGTCTATCAGGTGTAACTGCCTTGTCGCGATCCTACTGTGTGGTGTGGTGGTGTGAGCGCCGGTGGCACTGTTACCTGTGGGCGTTTTGGGCGTTGTGGTGGGCGTGCACCGAACTTTGGGGTCGCCCGTGTAGCCCGGGGGCAAGAGCAGCGCGGGCGGTGCAGCAGCGGGCGGCAGTCGGCGCCCAGGCCACACGCCTCCGTCATGATGCAGGGGTTCATACAGTGCCCGAGAAGCAAGCCTCGTTCCACGGGCAGTCCGCGTCTCGTCGGCACTCGAAGTCTGTTCGGCACAAGCGTCAAGCAGCTCAAGTCAGGCGTCCTCTGTCCTTCCTTCAAGTCTCTCTCATGACGGTCTCTCGTGACAGAACTAAAACTGTCATGGATTCTGACTGATAACTCGTTTCTTTTTCTTCTTCAGAATCATGGATCCTGACTTGCTATCATTATTTGAGGTTGCAGAGAGAAGACTTGAAGGTTCGAAACGTCGGGCTGTTAAGCAACCCAGCGTTTCCGCGAAAGGACAGAGGCTTGCGTCCTGCTGTTAATTCTATGTTGCATATGCGCGTCGTCTAGAGCCCACTGCGAATGCTAGCGAATCACAGATGAAATCTAGCCAAAAAGTGCCCGAAGAATCATGGAATCCAGCCAACAAATGCACAAGAATTATGGGAATTTTGCCCTCTTAAAATGCCAAAAGTAGCCAACAACTGCTCGACGTCGAAAACTCCCTCGTTCCCTGTGATTCGGAATTCGCAGCAGGTTTAAGCATCAGTCTCAGTACAATCACTTGTTCAAAAAAACTATCTCTAAAAGCTCAAGGCGTCGTTCCAAGGGATGAACACTAAGTCATCGTCACATATTGAGGTCGAGGAAATGTGCTTCAAGAGCGACTTACCATCAGGAGGAAATGCATGCAAGCAAAAGGAAATAAAAGGCTAAGGTAGAACGGCAGAGAGAAACCACATGCACATCCCAGAGGCAGAGACTCAGCGGAGACGAGAGCAAGGAGTCAAGTTCATGATGCTGGGAGAGTTAGCATCGATCAAGATCTCATCGGGAGATGAAAGGGATCTTTAACTGAGAAGAGGAAGCAGAGATTAGAAGTTGAGATTAGAAATTACGGTTAAGAGTAAGGTAGGCGATTTTTTTTTTTTTTTTTTTTTTTTTGCTGGTTAATCAGTTAGTGTATAAATTTCTTTTTCATTACGGATATCCAGTTACTTTCGATAAAAAGGAGATTTCACTGCACCATCTTCAAGCTTTGGCCTTGATGTGGCAGCGATAAGAAACATTTAATTGAGCAACGTCGTCTACGGCAATTAGGGAGGAGTTAATAGTAATTACGGGTTATGCAAACAATACTCTATAATCGCGCTCGATTATATGCGGAATTAATGAGAGTCGCACGGAATCTCGCGTCAGGCCAGGAGGACACTGTCAGTTACGTCAGTCTTACCGGGGACGTGGGGTGGGGGAGGGGGAGGGGGTGGGGGGGACAACAGGAGGGGGATAAGAAGGGGAATTCTCTATCAGGGACGGATGAAGGGGAGAGGAAGAGAATAGGAGGAAAGGGGGATAAAAAAAAAGGGGGGGGGAATTTCTGGAGGTGGCGGTATGGGGACGGATGCCTCACAGGGCCGTGGGGACAGGGATGGGGGGGGAGAGGGAGGGGGTATGGGGGTTATGGGCAGGTGAGGTGAGGTAAGGTAAGGGGCGAGCTACCTGAGATGCAGAAGGGGATGTGATCTCTGACTTCGCATCGCTCGCTGAACACGCAAGGGTCGCTGACTTCACACGGGGAGACGCACGCTCGGTTCACGCACGCCTCGTTGCTGGGGCAGTCCGTGTTGCTGCGACAGCCGACTGTGGGCGGGGTCGTGGGCGGGGTCGGGAGGAAATGGGGGGAAAGGGGAGAAGGGAGGATAATAGGAGATGGGTGTGGGGGTCGTGGGCGGGTCGTGGGGGTGGGGGGGAAATGGGGGGAAAGGGGAGAAGGGAGGAAAATAGGAGTGGGTGTGGGAGGATAAAAGGAGTAGGAAAGGGGGTTTGGAAGAGAGAGATATATCCTTCAATAATTTTTCGTTCTTCTTTTTATCATTTTGTACAATGACTGTTCCTTAAGGTGTTCGAGAGGGGGAATGGGTGTCTTAGAATCAGCTGTGGGTGAACTGGCGGGGTAAAAACCAGCGCTTTTTTATTTACAAAAGGGAGAAAAAACATATAATTGTTTTTCTTCTCCTTTGAAACATTTTTTTTCGATGCGAAGAATTGAGAAATAAAACATGACAGAGAGGAGAAATAGGAAAATGCCATTACCAAAAAAAACATGATAAACGGAAAAAAAACAATAACAAAAAACCACCATAATAAGAACAAAAAGAAGGACCACAAACGTATTCCCATTCGAAAAAAATATATATTTACAAATATATAAGATCTGAAGTGAAGAAATAAAGGGAAATAAATGGAAGGTGTAATAAGAAGGAAATAAAAAAAATCACCTTTTAAAAGAAGGGGAAACATGTGAACATTTTTGAAACAATTCAATTTCCTATGTTGAAATATCTTGATTTAAAGCCTGATAATAGTGTAAATTTGTTCACATCCTTCTTCCCTCCTGTACCCTCCTCCCTCCGTTTCCCTCGGTGTCCACCCTCCTTCCCTCCCCTCCTTTTACCCTTCTATTCCCATCACCTTTGCTTTCCCTCCCTTCCCTTCCCTTCCCTATATCCTCCCTCCCTCCCCATACCCTTCCCTTCCCTTCCCCATACCCATCCTTCCCTTCCCTTCCCTTCCCCCATACCCTCCTCTGGCCCCTCGCACTCACCTGCAACACACGTGGCCCTCTGGTTCTGCACCTTGCAATCCTCCTTGGCACTGCACGGGTTGCGAGCCACGCAGGGGTTGAGGCACTTCTCGTTGATGCACGCCTGGTTGGTCGGGCACTCGGAGTCGTCTCGGCATCCGATTGCTACGCGTTGCAAGGCGCGGGGAGAGAGAATGGTTTAGATCTGCTCGGTGTGCGCGCGGGGCACCGGAGGACGGACTTCGATAAAAGCAAGATAATTTTGTTGGGTCTCTTTCTTCATTTTTTTTTTTTTGGTCTCTTTCTTCATCTTTTTTTTAATCTATTTATATAGAAATGAGAGTTAGATGGGAGAGGAAGAATAATATCGGTCATCCTCGAGCTCAACTATCTTGCTTCCATTGCCAAGCCGTATTCTATATCCAGCACAAAATAACTAAACTAAAATCATATATTCATACACATATAAACATATCTTTTAAGGTAAAAAAAAAAGTGAAAAATAAAATAAAACATGAATGGGAGGATAATTTTGTTTTCCATCCGCCGTTTTTGCACGTTCCTTTTCAACGGGAACGACTAAAAAAATCCTGAGTTCTGGGGGGGGGAATGAACGACTTGAGATCAATCCATTAAATGCACACAAAAAATATGAGTTAATAATTGGTGAGTAGATATTCCGTCAATTAATCTTTGGTAAATTAATCATTCAGTCTATGAGTAAATTGTTAATGAGATATCAGTAATTTTTCGTCAGGGATGTGAATATATAATCTATGTTATTTGTTGTTTGATGCATGTTGCAAATTAATAAATGTTATGTATTTCTTTCCTGAAATGGAACGGGTATATTTCTCTTCATGTATATATCAGTTTGCCCTGTAAGAGACACAATTGGTTAACAACAAAACATAACAAAAACAAAATGCACAAGACACAAACAAAATGCACAAACACAATGCAGTTAATGCAAGCACACAATGCAACATCCACAACTGCATGCTGGGCGATCACTAAAACGAACAAACAAACGCATGCAAAAGAAAAACAAAAAAAAAACTCGCGCATGTGTTAATGGGAACATCACAACCAGATTTTTTTTTTTTTTTTGTTATAAGTGGTACACATCAAAGCACACAGGACGAACAATACAGTGGTTAAAACAAATAAAGAAAAAAAACAAAAACAAAAACAATCTCAGTTCAGGCGTGTTTCATACGTGTTAGAGCACAATCAAGGCATTACATCTCAGATTTTCGAGACAAAAAGCCTAGAGACTTTTCCTTGCGTGGGTGAAGCACTTTCCATCCTTCACTTGGGTTAATAAAGCATTTCAGACAAAAAGCGCAGCATATTCATGAGAAAAAAAAATAATGGCTAATATTAGATAGCAAGGACAGATTACAATAAGGTTAGGACAACAGTACACCAAGCACTTTCGAATTGAAGAGTGGGAAGCACCGTTCTTATTTTTTAGTGCAGTTTCCCCTTTCGTCCGAGGCCAAGGAAAACGAGTTAGAAGAAAATGGGTAGAAGAAAACGTCCGAGGAAGCAGGACAGACTCAGAAGGCCGATAGAACCACACAAGTAATACCACACGCGCACACAACACCATATAATACAGGGTAAAGTGTTCATTTATAAAAGGGATTGTATAGGAATCTTTATAAGTGTTATTTCGGGAGGGGAGGGAGGGGAGCGTAGGGAGAGGGGGTGAACAAGCGAAAAATTTTGTTCAATAAATGCACCGACAATGGCGGACCAACAGTTATTTCGTGTAACTTGATCTTAAAAAAAGGGGGAAACGAAAAAAAAAAACTGAGGAAATCAGAACAAATAATTAAGCTGATCATGTATCGTTCACAGTGACTCCGCCATTGTTTATATGACCAATCGAACAATGTGTTCAGGGATTACAAATAACTACAGATTTCCAAAAAGCTTCTGAAGGGAGGAAGAACGGACAGCTTTCTAAACCAGCATCGTGAGCCCATAAATATTTGGGGTTAAGACCATGATAAAGAAAAAAAAAGAAAGATGTTATTGTTAGAATGGCTTTTATTATTTGTCCCGCCATTTCTTTTCCATTTTAGTATGACTCGAGATGCTGGTCGAGAATTTGTCACCGGGAGAAAACGATTCCGCCGACCCGGAAGCGGGCGTAAGCTAAAATAAATAACAAAAACAGCATCGACAACACAAAAGGGGTTGTCTGCTTGTTTTGTTCTCATATTTTGGGAGAGAAAATGATTATTACCTTCGGGGCATCGGGAGCCTAGCGCTGGCCCCGTGGGACACTGACATGTTAGTCTGTTACTGATCACCTGCACACGTGAACCCGCTACCACACGGACTAGACATCTTGCACGGGTCTGTGCACTTATTCTGGAGGCACGCCAGGTTCCTCGGGCACTCGACGCTGCTGGTGCACGTCTTGGGGCCGGGCGCCAGCGTCTTGGGCACGAGGAACTGGGGGTGGTGGTGGGGACGGATTCCGGGGGGCCGGGGTGGCGGGTGTTTTGGGGTGAAGCGGAAGGGGGGTTGGTGTGCGGGGTGTCTGTTTGTGTGGGGGGACAGGGCTGGTCTTGGGAACAGAGGTCTTTTGATGGTTATTCTAGGGCGCTTTGTGGTCGGTGTAAGGGGCGCGGCCTAGGTGTCGAGGGAGGCCGGTGTATGGTGTTGTCCTCTGTGACCGGAGGAGCTCTTGGTGTTGTTACACGCGTCGGTGTGGGCGTGGTGTGTGTGGGCGTCTCCTCGGGAACTGCGGGCGTGAAAGGTAGCTCCGTTGGAGGTGTTGTGAAGGGAGGAGGTCGCTGGTCGTGACCTCGACACCGAAGGGAGGTCGCTTGGTCGTGACCTCGACACCGAAGGGAGGTCGAGGTCGGGGCGTGTTGATTTTGGGTGGGCGTCGAGTGGGACCTTTGACCGGCCTCCGCGTGGTTTTGTGAGAGGAAGGGGCGAGGGGTGTGACAGAGGGTTCCAGAGGCGTGGCTGGTGGTGACAGGAGGCGTCACGCCCGGAGACACGGAGGAAAAGGTTGTGGAAAATCCGAAAGGTGTTTGGGGGCGATCGGTCGTCGCGGGTTTGTCAGTGAAGAAGCCGACCGTGTGAGTGGGCTCCTTGGGGCTGAGGGTTTTGCCGATGTCAGCAATGGGTGTGGTAGTGGGTTCTGTGGTCTTTGAGGTGTCGTGGCAATTGATCTTTACTTCGTTTTGAGTGCCAATGCTGATGGAACAGTCGCGTGTCCCACAGGCGACCAGGCAGGGGTTTGTGCATTGTCCTTGGAGGCAAATATGTTTTGTGGTGCCGCAGTCAGCGTCACTGCGGCACGACGTCCGGGAGGTGGTGGATGGGGTGGAGGGGGAGGTTGTATCGGTGTCTGTTGCAAAATATGGAAATGGAATAAGAGAGTGGTAATAAAAAAAACTGAAGAGCCATTAATGTTTCATGGTGACATGTTCTGGCACAGTATAAAATGAAGAGCTAAGGTCCCTTGTCAGTCCTTGTCTGAGAGGTTCTCTGTGGATTTTGACTTACTGAGAGTTGAGGGTCTTTGTTTTTCGTATTATGTATCTATTCTGAATGTTCATTTTGGAGAAAGACTGTGAATCGAACTTGCAGTGTTAATTAGATGAGTTGACTTGCAAGTGAACATTCTCTTGATTAATTCAAACAATTGGAAATATTAGCAAACAAGACTGGTACGTGAGTATATATTCATTAGTCTACTCTGTCAGACATTAGTCGACGTGGCTGACTAACAACAACTACGTGCCACTATCTCTCCATCACCGTTCAGTCGGGTTAATACAATATTAGCATCATGGCCGCGAACACTGAGCGAAGTGTTTACCTTTAACGCATCCAAACTCAGGGTCAACGGTAAAGCCAGGCGGGCAGAATTTACAGAGTGGCTTGTGGTCCTCCACGTAGCATGGCGTGTCGCCGGGGCAGACGTGCGAGGCGCAGGGGTCCACGCATTGGTAGGACACGCACGCCTCCGTGGGGCCGCATCCCTCGTCACGGAGGCAGATGGTGACGGAGGGGTTGCAGTCCTTCACGCAGATGCACACGGGCTGGTGGTTGAGCACATCACACTGCTTGGAGGGCGGGCAGGGCTGGCCTACCGAGCACGGGTTCACACACTTGCTGTTGACGCACGCCAGGTTGCTCGCGCACTCGTCGTTCGCCCGGCACTCTATGGGCCCTGTCGCACAGACAAACTCGCCCACTGAATTTACGACAAAGCCATGTTTACATATGCAAGTGGGCTCGTGCTTCCTGACTTCACACATCTTATTGGCTTCACACAACGCCCCTCCGCGGACGCAGGGGTCGTAGCACTGAGACTGGGCTCGATCGCAAGCCTGACTGTCGGGGCACTCGGAGTCGCCCCGACAGCCAGTGGTTATGGGGGGCTCCTTGGGGATAGCATCACAGGTGGGGTCGGGCCTGCAGGCCACCTTGGGGCGGCCTACATAGCACTGCGGGCAAGAGCACTGCGCCGCGTGCGCCACGGTCCGGCAGAGTGCGCGCTCGCCGCACGCCCCCCGCACTGTGCAGGGGTCTTTACACTGTCCACTTATACATGCCTGAGTGGGCGGGCAGTCTGTGTCAAGCGTGCACTGAGTATCTAGTGTGAGAGAGGGAAGGGCGGGTGAGCATGCACACGCGCGGTGGAGGCCAGGGAGCCGCGGCCCAGCCGAGGCCGGTCGCGCCGGCTCGGCCTCCGGGCCTCCACCGCCTCAGAGTTATAGACAAATGCAAGTGAGCTGCTGTCACATGGTTACACTGGTTATATATATACTTTTTGTGTGCACTCTGTGTATCTCGTTAATGCGGCCTAACATGTAATCATTACTTACAGCTGTATAGATCACCTTCAACCTGAACTTGAGACACGGCCTAACACCCATGTGCACAAACCGGGATTATTTTGTAAAAACTAACAACATGAATCTCCTTTGGTCTTTTATGTTTTTGGGTTAAATGACACACATATGCGGCAACTAATTTCCGGACAACACACATACTATGCGGCTAGGCTGCAAAATTAGGGGTACAGTGTTCTTAGGTGTCTCGAGTTGGTAGAGGAAAACAAATAATTTTTTGGGGGTGGGAGTAGAGGTTAGGCGGACCAACACAACACGGGGACACAAAAAACGGGGCAAGAAATCAGTAGTAGGTAGCAACAGTAGTAACAGGAGTAGGAGTAGTAGTAGTACTAGTAGTAGTAGTTGTAGTAGTAGTAGTAGTGGTGGTAAGTGAGGGACGAGGACACAAAAGGCAGATGTTCAACAGGTGTCTGAGTGAGTGAGAAAAGCTGTTTGACTGCCGCACAGGACGACTCAGGGACGACCCTTTTTCCTGTGTCTCGGCGCGAAGGATCCGAAGAGTGTGAAATCAGGGAGCACTCACAGAAAGGGGGAGGGAGGGGGGGGGACGGAAAATATAAAAAAATAAAAGAGAGAAAACGGGAAACGGGCGACATATTCAGCGATGCGAATTCTTTAAAAGAAAACGGAACTTTTTTTCTTTTTCTTCCTCATTTCCATCCATCGTAATGTCTTTCTCCCTCTTTTTTTTCCGATGGAATGAGAAAATAATCCTCTATTTTCTCCTTGCTGAAAAGATAATCATCCTTCCTAACTCTATACGAGAGGAAGGCAGGATGTTGCAATTCCATCGCTGACGAATGTCGCTTGCAAGAAACAAAGAGAAAAAAAGAAGGGGATTTTTTTTAAAAAGGGGGAGGGGGTAAAGAAAATGAAAAAAAAAGAAGATTGGCTTTAAGATTGGACTTTTTTTCTATATATCATAATATTTATTCATACTTTTTTTTTTTTTTTTTTTTTTTTTTTTTTTTGCAACCTCTACTTTGAATGCACTACAGATGTCCGCTTTTAGGAAA